AAGCTATATTAGTGGAAAAACTGCAAGAAGCTCGGTAGAATTCTTTCAATGATTTCTTGTAATATCCAAAACATCTCTTCTTTGTAGTACTCTAACAACCAAAAAAATAAGTTTGTCAATTTACAAAAATGTGTGGTAAAATATAGTATTTATTATTTCGGATTCAATAATAATTAGCATAACAATCTAGAAGTTAATCATAAGTCAAAAGTTATCGAAGGGGATTCAGAATCATTGCAAAAATATTCATTAATTATATTACAATAAATGCGATTGTAAATTATTCTATCTGTCAAATCTACGAAATTTTGAAGAATTTTGTAGCTTTATTTGCAGTACTGAATTACAAAATCTAACTAATGATGTTGACGAGAAGAAAAAAAAATTGCGAGAAAAAACGGGCAAAGATTTTGTAATTACGAATGTTCAGGTTTATTTTTGTTTTTCGAAACAAATATGCACCGAATACAGCAAGAATAAATTTTAAATTATATTCGTCTCTAAGATTGATCTAATAAGTTTAATTCAAATCTTTGTAAAACTTAGCATTGTATTCTTAATTATTTATAGTATAAACTTTTTTTACCAAATCCATTTATGAAAATATCAAGATTTTCTTGATCTTACAGCTTCGATAATTTCAGTTCAAGAATTATGTCAGTGACTTACGGAGTAAAACACAAAGTTATAAGCAAAAACAAGTGGAAATAAATAATTTAAAAAACGAAAGCGCTATTTTAGCACGTACAATCCATATTCTAACAATTCAGTGGAATGAATTCAAGCAAAAAATTGTAAGCTATTTAGTTGTGCGTTAATATGGTTGTAATTCAATTTCTTTACCAAAAAAGTTTTAAAAAAAATTAGAGATTTGATTTAATTTTTAGATCTTTTTAAATCAATTTCAATTGTTCATTGAGGTTCAGATTGCTCACTAACCAAATAGAACTTTTCAGCAAGCTATTGTTTTCTTTTAAGGAGGAAAATGGAGGTCAAGTAATCCAAGTACCTGACCTGAGCATTGAACACGAACTTCCAATCTCAAAACCAAAAACAAATGATGGAAATGAATTGCGTGATATGATCAGTAAATTGAATGAGCAAATAGATTCAAAGAAGATGACAATACAAAAACTCAAGAAATTGAACGCAGAGCTGAAAGAAGAACTTGTTGTAAGCAATTATAATGCTTTAAAAATTAAGGGATTGTATGAAATAGACACTGATATTCATTTTAGACTAATTTTTAATCTGAATATTTGATAATTCTTAACAACAATATGCGAAGGAAATTATTACGAAGTTAAGTAAGTAAGAGAGATTCTAGACAAGTATTCTTTAGTGTTTAAACCACAAAAAATAAAAAAGTATTAAATTAAAGTTTTCATTAATGTGAGAAAACAGCAAAATTTGAACTTTTTAAAGACAATCCGAGAAAATTTCAATTTGAAGCAACGGAAATATGAAGCAGATAACACAAATCTCGAAAGTTCATTTGCTGAAATTCAAAAGGTATCAATTAATTTACATTTGTAGCATCTTTTAATTCAGATAATGTTTTATGAAGGAATATTCAAATATTCACTGCTCCACTAATATTCTGCATTAAGTAAAATAGTAATATCTTGAAGAAAAGTTTGATTGTATTTAAAATTTGCTTGAATATTTGACTATTTTTTCTTATACGCTTGAAAAACTTTTATTTAAAAAAATGAATTACTGCAATTTTAATTGACTAAATTAAAATTTTTTATATTTAAAGTTTTTTCTGAAAAAAGCTACAAACTGTCATACAGTATGATCTGCTTTATAAAAACTGTGATGCGCAAAATTCTTCTTCAATTTTCTTTCATAGTATTTTAATGAAGAAAATAATTATTAATATTTAAAAGTGAATATATTTAAATAATTGTGCAGGAATTATATGATAAGATTGCAACTTTAGGATGTTCAAACAATGGAAGAAGAAATGAAAATGAATAAACGAAACATCTTTCGCGCTCAGATGGAAGTAAACGTTATGAAGTGCATCTTGTCGAAAATGCAAGAAAGTACGACGAAAGAAACGCAAATGATAACTAAAGTAGAGGTGAGTTCAGAATTCAAAAATTTTAATTTACCAAAATAAAGTGGTCTAAATTAAATTAAAATAGGTCTGAAGCTCAGTAGGTTAATTATTCAAAAAATAATTATTTAAACAATTCACTGTAAACCCACTTTACAACAAAACTAATACGTGCAGTGAAAATGAAAAAATAATGAAGATAATTTGTTGAATAAAAGAATAAACTCTTATTATTATTCCTTCAATCAAGATCTAGTTTTACGGCAGAATTGATCAGTTGCTTGTAGAAAGAGATAAAGCTTGCTGACGAAGAAATGAAAAGGTTGGAAAGTTCACGTGAGGTTAGCAAATTATCAAGAGAAGACGCTAGCACTCAAGTGGCTATGTGGCGATCGTTAGTGGCAATTTTTAGACTTAAATTAAAATTATTAGAAGATCAAAATAAGAATGAACTTCAAAAGCGTAGGTGATATTCACATCGTTGTAATTAAAATATATTTTGAAGATCAAACTATCATTAGAGGAAAAATATAGAATCTTCTAGGATGCATTTATTCTTATATTCTTTCTGTCGGATTCTTTTTGATACATATGGATTTCAAGCACTTTTGTAAAATTTCTTCCAGCAAACTTATATGACGGATAGATACCAAATTGTGATATTTATAAAATTTGTAACACATGAATCTGCTTGATTTTCGTTCACAGTATTATCCAGTGAGATAAAATGAGTTATTATACTTATATACACTCATAAAAGTGTCGCGAAATGAGCGATGATGTAAATTCTTGTTTGAATTTAGCATAAACTTAATGCAACATAATTCTGAAAGTGTTACACGTACTTGAAAACACGTTGAAGTTGGCAGATTTTTAACATCACATTCCTACCATTCAATAAACTGAATGGTATTTACATATTACTGGATTACCTTGTATGCTCGTTTTAAGATTTGTAATGCATTGCAATGGCGCAGTAATTTTTGGATAGATTTTGGATAGATGTGATATTAAAAAACATTATACCGGGGTAAAAGTGGCAAAAAGGCTT